TTTTTGTTGTACTTCTTTATTCAGAGTGTCTGACCACACCCAGTCTCCTAATTTTTACTTTCCGAATTCTAACTCTCAGTCTTCAAGAGCTTATTTAAAGAACGGGGACTTAACAAGCCTTATTAAAATGTGTACAAACTACTGTATATGTATTTGGGGAGAGAGTTATTACATATGGCAAGGATATCCACAAAGCTTTCATTCTCTTTCATCTTCTGGACTAAAAAAAATTACAGGTTAAACAAATGAATAGTTTGGTCACAATCTATTCAGAAGCAATAGTCTCAAAAATATCAAGCTCTAAGCTCTATAGGGTTTTATAATTTTTGAACAAGGCTGTTGATTTGAGCTCCGAACTTGGCAGTTTGGTAGCAAACTGACATTGTCAGTGCGTTGTCTGCACTGACGATATCTCCTCAAATATTGAGGAAACATTTGCTACCAAACTGCCAAGTTCGGAGCTCAAACCAACAACCTAACTACCAACCTGAGCTATTAATATTCAAACACATGTCAGTCCTTTGAACTATACCTCCTTGGAAGCTATTGAACTGTATGTGAGCTAAGAGCTGCAGTGGCGCAGTGGTTAGAGTGCAGTACTGCAGGCTACTTCTGCTGAGTGCTGTCTGTCTGCAATTTGGCAGTTCAAATCCCACCAGGCTTAAGGTTGACTCAGCCTTCCATTCTTCCAAGGTGGGTAAAATGAGGACCCAGATTGTTGGGGGCAATAGGCTGACTCTAAACCGTTTAGAGAGGGCTGTGAAACACTGTGAAGCAGTATATAAGTCTAAATGGTAATGCTATTACTATTGTACTATATACCAATTGCAGTTTCTGGGTAGACTTCAAGGGCAATTCTGTGTGTGTTGCGGTAATGTAGAGGTAATAAGGCCATGGAGTTATTGTTGCCAAATTTTTCTGCCTAAAAACTGCACTAGGTATAGCAAGACAAAGACACTCCTCATCATAATTTCCATTTGCTGATTCAGGAACATTTCCAAGTAATGGATGCCTCCCAAGACTAGTAAGAAGATCAGTCAACAACGTCATTGCTACATAAACAGCACTTTTTTCTTGGGATTCTGTCTAACTTGTCTGTCTTATCCAATCCTTTACAGTCTTCAAGTATTCCTAAGAACCTCCATGACATCTATTCACCTCTGGGTACTTATACCATATGTGTGAATGTGGACAGATGCAGAGCTTGGTTCATCTGGTATGTCAACTACTACTAGAAACATGTACCAATAATGACTTATTTTGGACCAACAACAAAATTAGGAAGGTTGCTTCATTCTGTCAATTTAAAGTTTGACCTAGACACAGGAGATGATGACTTATGTATAATTTGGTATCATTATTGTACTTGTAATTATCCTGAACCAATGGGTGATCTTCAGTGACTTCATGCAGATGCTGAAAAACAAGGAGCAGAGTATTCAACCCAGAAGCAACCA